CTGTCGTTAACAGCAATATGCAGCGCACTCACACCCTGAAAATGAGGCATTCAATTAAGGCTCCTGAGTACTCAACATCCATATTGAATCATGATGTCATAAACAAGAAATAAGCGACATGTTGATTTTTTGCATAACATAAATAAAGACAATTTGAATAAAACGAAATAATGAGATCGCTGTAAAAAATGTAAAAATAGATTGAGACTATCATTATCCCCTTTGATAATTAGTAAACAATTATAAAAAGCACGTAAAGTGCATTTACTAGTTTTTACTCAATGCGCATGCGTAGCCTATTTTCACTTCACCACTTTTTCGACTATTTACCTACTGACTGTCAGTCAGTAAATATAAGTCAGATGGAATAAGAATGGTTTCGACCCATTTTTATAAATGTTTTACAGCGTTCTCATTCTATTCTTATTTCGTTTTGTTCAAATTGTCTTTCTTTACAAATGGCAAGAAAAATTAATGTGACATTTCTCACTTATGACGTCACGATTCAATATGGTGAGTACTCAAGAGTCTTAAGTTTATTAACTGACGAAGGAAGTTCGCTTATTCATAAATTAGAAAAGAAAATTGAAAGTAAAGAGAAGTAAATCAAAACACAATGGATGATTCTCCAAAACTATTTTTTCTTTCCATTTCTATTGTCCCTACTTATATAATTCGAATAAGTCGATAATCGAAGTAGCGGAAATAACGATTTGCATAAGAAAACGTAAAGCGGTATGCCATAATGGTTGAATGACCGAAAAATTTCTGGACTTTCTCGAAATTCTTTCTTGCCACGGTCTCTTCCTGTAGTGAGATCGACTTTTAGAAGACTATCGGCTCCACTCTTTTTCTCGGTTGTGTCCCTTTTTGTAGGAAGAATGGCTCGACGACGTTTCTCGCCCATCTGCGGTGCGTTTACAGAGGACCCCAACAATGGACCAGCACCATTGTTGTTGCCGACACCAGTCACAATAATATTCACTGATATTTTGGCTTTTCGACAAGCCCCTGGGAATATCCATATACATCCACACGCCTAACGACAATAACAGATCGTGATATATGTTGCCAAAAAGTTCTTGTTAGCTGTCCCTTAACAATAGACAGCTGCTGCCTTTAATGCATGACTCGACCAGATTTTATGTCCTGCTAAATATTTGTTTGTCATTTGTTTTTGCAATTTTTCTTTTGTAAAGGATAAATCGTAAGCAAAAACACTTGGTAACATGATTGGTGTGTTCTATTGGTTTAACGTGTGTGATAATCCTTTTATGAATGTTTTAACTTTATATTTTTTATATACCTTTTTTATACATTACGTTTCTATTTTATTAAAAAAAAATAGTTTAAAGGGACTTAAATGTTCTATCAGAGAATAATGGGACAAATTGGCGAAATTCGGGAAGTTTATTGATGTATCATAGATCACGCCAAGGCACACAAGTAGAGCTTCCAATGTTAAGAGAATTCCCATATAGAATTTATAACGGGGCAAGTCATTTGAATAATTTTTATCAGGTCTCAGTTGAAACCATTGTCTTGTAAAAAGACGGTCTGAAATATAGCTGAAGATACATGGAGAACACCCAGCTTCCTCCTCTCTGTGCATTTCTCTCTTTCTTCCATCGAGTTCCCTTCTATCTTCTGTCTTTCTCCTTCTTCCCCCGCTCTCTTTCTCTCCTCTTCTTCCATTCGCGTGCCGTCTCTCTTCGTGCCGCTTCGGCATTTCGGTCCCAAAGTCAAACGAAAGTTTGGTCGCTTTTCTGAAACCCTCTCAAAGAGACAGAGAGAAAGAGAGAGGCACACAGATGGTTACCGCGCTGACCGAATGGATGGAGGAAACATTCCACGGGGGGTACATGTTCCTCTATAGGGTAAAGATCTGAGATAACTGGACTTCGCATCGCCTTCATTCTCTTCGTTTTGTCTCCCTTCTTCCTGTATTGGTTCCGCCGTTTCTTGCACGGAGTAAACCACACGAGTTTGTAAAAGACTTTAAAACTGTTGGATTCGCTCCTTAAGATATATAAATAAATATTTTTAGATTATATAAAAAAATTTTATATTATATATAAAACTTCGAAAGTTTTAATAAAAATTAATTTTTTTAAATAAAAAATTATACATTAATATCTTCCAATAACGTAAATTACTATTAAAGTAAGTGACTAATTCATATTGCAATCCATTTTTCTTGATTCTCTTTTTGCTAAGCATTAAAGAATAAGTAAAATGATAGAACGATAGACCATTTTAAATTGCATCAGGCGCTCTTAAAAAAAAGATTTAAAGATGACCTACAAAGGTAACCTGAACATCGACAAACCTGCGAAAAATATTTCCTTTTGACGCGCAGTGTCTTTTCGGTGAACCCTAACATAAGTGACGGTATTCGTTTAAATCATGGAGTCAGTGACAAAAAAGATAAATTTGGAAATCTTTATGAGTTGTTCAAGAGTTTGGTTTGAAGCCGCCATTTGTATGGCTTCATGGGTAGTCCAACAAATCAAATAGAAAATAGATGAAGTCTAATGGTTAATAATTTATGGAAAACTCATTCCGTCATGGTATAATTAAACATTTGATCGGTAACAGTATTTGCAAATAATAATATGTATTTAATTGCTTCATTTCCTTCTTTGTTTTGCAAATATTTGGAATCATTATTGATAATTTTAGTGGTTAATTGCAAATCAGGAAATAACTTCATAGACTTTTGATTCCATACAAATGTATTTCCTCAATAATCTATATAACCTTTATACAGTAATCTTTTTTTGATATTAATATTTTATACTTCTTCAAATTGGGAAATTAGAAATTTATATACTTACTTGAAAATTGATGGCATTTATATTGAAATCTGGATGTTGCTCCAAGAATAATCGAGCTTCAGTAACACTTCCATCGTCGACAATTTCGAAAAACCTTTTCTCAAGTTCTTGCAAATGCGGAAATACTACACCAGACTGCAATAAAATAACCTTAAAATAAATCTATAGGATATATATATCATATCATATTTATATTTTTTACATTAAAAAAGGTTAAATAAAGAGAAAGAGGGATTGATAGGAAGAGAGGAAGAGAGGGAGGGGAGAGAGAGCGAGAGAGAGAGAGAGAGAGAGAGAGAGAGAGAGAGAGAGAGAGAAAGAGAGAATCGTCTTTTTCAACCCTTTATTTAATCTTACATTTTCAAGTTCGTCCTCTGTTCCGGCTGTTGTCTCATTATCATTATCCGTCATCACGAGTGATCGCTAAATTATATTCGTTTCTCACAATTATATAAAACTAGATCTATTTTTGAAATATAAATCCAATCGCTCGAAAAATTCAGACATTAAATATAAAAATCTTTTATAACAAAAAAATATCAAAGATATTCTTTATGTTAATTACATTTTGTTTCGATCTATTGCAGTATAGAGTTGAAGTTGCTTTAGAATTTTTTAAGTAAATTTCGGAAAGAAGAAAAAGCGAGAAAGAAAAAGAAAGAAAGGAAAAAAGAAAATTAACAATAAGTACAATAAAAGACTTAACTTTTTTAAATTTTTCTGTTGTATAGAGTAGTGCATCATACGTATTATATGACTTTCTTTGTTTAAATTTTCTAACTTATTTATTTAATTTAAAAAAATATTAAATTGTTGTATGAAAATAATAAGACACGATGATCTGCTTTCGTTAATAATATAATGTAATTCAGTTTTTTGGGAAGGGGTATATACATAATTTATAATTTGTTTGTGTGCTACAATATACAAA